GCTTTTTCCGCTCGTACATGTTGACCTACGCTTCTTCTTCTCTCTCTCTCTCTCTCTCTCTCTCTCTCTCTCTCTCTCTCTCTCCTGCGCCCGGACTGCGAGTCGGACGTGACAGTAGTCCGACTCCCTTTCGCGTCCGGTGGGCGAAACTTCGGGCTACTTCTTGGTGCTCGTATCGTCGCGCTCGATACTCGATAAAAATGCAGGGGACAAAGTATCCCTTCTGGATCGCTTGAACTACTTGTTCTAAAACTATTCGAATACTCTGCGATTTTTATGTGGGGCAATTATAACTTGCAAAATCGTGTAACCGCGATGTTTTATAACGAGCAACTCTTCCAAACGAGTTTGCAGTACAGATTATAGAGTTTTTACGCATTGTATTATATATTGCAACATAATCCGGTAACAATGCTGTGAGCTTAATCGCGATAATAAATTGAAATATTTATAAGTATGAAAAAAATTATTAAAATCATTCTTGCAGTTCTATTGATGCAACTAAACAATTATCTGACTACTATATTTAACATGTGGAAATCTGCATTGGGATTTGTGCAGCCTTTGCGTCAGCATTCAAAGTTACTAACCGGAAGCGAACGAGCAATATACTTAATCCGCGAATACGCAGACTACAAAATGCGGCAACATTTCGTTAGGAATTATTATCTCACAACGGGTTCGTTCGCCGCTCGGATGAGCGTATTAACAAGGCAGGTAGAAAACAAATATCCATAGAACGTTGAGGAATATTTCAAATTTTCTTTACACGATAAATAAGATTGGTATTCACAGAATCAGCGAAACCGTTTTCGTAACTGCTTGTCTAATGTCGCGTTCGTACGACGGGGAAATCGTTAAAATCCCCGTCCAAGAATAATTTCAGACGCTACGATTCACTCGGCATTTTCTCTCTCTCTCTTGCTTCTCTTCCCGTCATCGCGTCGAGCTTTTAATTAACGATCGGCATCCTAATGAACGAACGGTTCTTCGAGGGCTACCGGCAAATCGTTATCGATCCAACGAAATAACGACGGCGCCGAGCACTTCGTGCCACGTATTTCTCGTACTTATTTTTGTGCTCTATATTTTGTACTTACTCTCTTTGTATTGGAGAACATTGGAGTGTTTTTCATGAATGACAACGCAGCGGTAGCATGATTTCCTGAAACAAGAAAACGAAGAGCTTCGCTTTAACTCGCGTTCTTCGTGCTGTCCCCGTTAAGGAACGTTACTCTGCTGCTTGCTTCCATTCGCGCATTCAAGTTAAACAGGCCGAATAAAACGATTTGAATAACGATTAAAAACAGAACCGACGAAATTCAAGAAATGCGTCAATTCTTTTCAGCAAAAATTAAGCGAGAAGTAATTAAAATCTCCAATAATTGAAAAATAATTATTAAAGATGAGAAGAATTTAAGTTATATTCAATTATGAATCGTACGATTAGAGATCTTAAATTTTCTCAATCTTTTCCATACAATGATTCCAATGTTAGTAGTAAGCGATTTTTCTCTTTCATGAAATTAAAATATATATGAATTTAATTTAGCACTCTTAAATTTCAGATGGCCGAGCAGTTCAGACAGATCGGATCTCAAGATTGAATATCAGACTTCGGACTTTTCAAGCAGAAGGTAAGTTCAAACTAATTTTAGATTCAAAAATTCGGAAATTGACATCTGCGTAAAGTTGGGCAAAAACAGATTCATTTTTCGCGTGCATACTATTGCTCATATTTTTTTTAAATATTCGAACTGATTGAACTTTCAGGCCACAATTTACATTCTGAACTCGAAGCTCATTTTTTTTGCTTCGAGCATACGATACGCAATCGTTCTCATCTTAAATTCTAATCTATTTCATTTTATTACATTAACCGCATTTTATCATCTCATTGTATGAAAGTAGTACAATAACGTTTAAATTTTCACTGCCGTGTCTTACGGCGCATTTCTTTCTCAACTTCTTTCGTTTCGCTTGACGGTATATCGATCGGATACCTTGCACAGGCAAGTCCGATAGAAATCTTCAGAAAACTTAGAGGGCCAGCTCGTGTGACACGAACATTACACGGCAAAAGAGAAGCTTGACTTTCGCCGAAACTTCATTAGACTCATTACGTTTGAGGCCGCTTATTTTTCGCGTTTTCGTGAGGAGAGATTGAAAAATCGCATCGTTATTCCGTTACTGCCAACGTGCCGCAATTTTACCTTTCACAGATAAGTATTGCCTATTTTTACAGCAAACGGAAGATACAGTTGTCACGAGTTCGTTTTTCATCGCGTATAAAATTTCTTGGAAGAGAAATAGGAAGGGCTTCGAAATGCATAGTTACGTTACGTTACCGTATGTTGTTAACGATATTGCCAATTTTGCGGAATTGAATAAACCGCTCGAGATAAAAAGAGTATCCAGGTTATTTGGTCGAACGATTTCGCTATATTAGCTTTAGTAACTAAGGCTTTGATCGCTTGGATACATGAACTGCACATGTTATCTGAATCCTATGTGTGCAGCTTCGTAGAAAATTTTCAACAAAAATTGTCTCGCTACAATTGCTTGCGGTGCACAAAGAGATTAAAATAAATATGATATCAATAGATGCAATATGGATAACTCTTTTATTTCGCTACGATACTTGAAGGAACCGATTTGGAAATGAAAAAATTGATTTTGCTTGTGCCTGCTACTGTTTCACCTTTTAAAAATAAGAAACGTACAAATATCTACGATTTTTATCTAAAATAAGAGACATCTTCAATCACGAGTTTTTATAACAATAGAAATCTATAATAGAAAAATCTAATCTTGTTTATCTTTCAACAGTGAAGCGCGCTTTGAACTTTTTATTCGATCTGTTATTTAAAGACAATTTGGTGGTTGAAGTATTTTTATAATCTTTCTATTTATCTCTTTTTATTTATAATCTCTTTAATAATTTGTAATCTTTTTCATAAGTAAAATCGCGTATTATCGTGAAATGCGAGAAGACATATCCGATTACTTACTGATCTACTAGGAGAAACTTGTCGCCTTCGTTGTGTAGACACTTGCCCTTGGTGGATAATTCGTTCTTGAATATCTGTATCGATTGCCTCACACCACTTTGAAACCACGAGCCTTCCCACCTCGCTGGAAACGAGCATTCTGAAATCGCAAGAAATGGAATTCAAGGTTAGAAAGCGCTCCACGTTGCGTTTAATATATTGTATAAATGTACGTGCATCAAATGTAGGTTTTTTATATCATTAAAAACAGCATTTATTTAATTAATTTCCATTAAACTGAAAATTCGAGAAATTTACCGAAATTTCCATCTCTGCGGAATATTTATAAACAATCGCGATAAAGTTGACAGTTCGCAAATATTAAATAAGATAATGTTTATTTCGAAAATTCTCGTGTAATATTCATGCTTCCGACGAGATTTCCGTTCCTGTCTACACGTTATACGCCGCAAAAAGAGAAAAAACAGAGGGATGTAATATACCCAATGAAGTAATTCGGGACAAATCGAACGCAGAGCCGAAGACAAGGGGGGAGGGAAAAAGGTAAGAATAAGAGAGACGAGGGAGATTCGTGGCAGAGGGATACGAGAGGGAGGTAAAGAGAAAGAGGAGCCGGAGAGAACACAACGTGTCGGTGGCGAGATGGGAATTCCCGGGGCGGGATAATCCCGAGGGCGAGGCGAATTTCCGGAAACTACTGCTAGTATGGAAGGGATACATCCAGCCGAGTTATCGACGATAATCGAAATCCGGAGGAGTCCCTCGTGCCTCATTCGTTTCCCCGTGCGTAGGTCCACCTACTGAAAACGAGCGGAGATACGGGGGAGGTGTATTTTTGAACTCGACGAGGCAGAATAGGAATCCATTTTGGAGAAACGAGCGGATACCACGCGGATACCGAACGATGTTTGATCCGAGCATGAGGTGAAAATTACGAAATAGGAATGATGGATGTATCTCTGTTTTTCTTTCTATATTCAACAGATATGTATTGTTCTCTGAAACATATTATTTTTTGAACGTTGAACTCGTAGTAAAGTCGACGCAGTCGGTCGCGCTGCACGTTAAATGATATATCCTGCTTTCAATAAATATCTTGCGACATTATGCGTAGACTTAAGCAAAGTGATATGATTATTATTTCATAAATTTTATTGACCCTTTAATAACGGAAACGCCGATAAAGACAATTTTCGTCGAAATTGCGTAACAAAATCGCCCGGAATAATCGTTGAATCGCCATTACTCTGCAGCAGTATCGTTTCTTGGAACATTGCATTAATGTCTTCATCTCACCTCGATTCGAATTGTCATTCTATACGTGTCCGACGTAATTTACTTTAGAGATTAATTTAACAGCTTAACTTTATTATGGTACCACTGATTCGCTTGTAGAGGTATTCTTCGTTAATATCCTATCAGATATAACTGCCCAAACTCCCTTTATGTATAGCATAGCATTAGCCAGACTGCTAAAACTAATAGTCTCATAATTCTGATTTACCTCACGCAATAATTAGCGGCGTAAATTTCGTCCGTAAATTCACTTGTATCTATTAATAATATTTACGCAAAGGTGCATTTGTGCGTTTTTGCATAATATAATTTTCGGATAAAAAATAAAACGTCTCATTAGGACATATTGGATAATATTGATCGATGCACTTAATTAGACATCAAGAAGACGTATTTGAGAGACGGGAAAGGCGCGAGGCTTGACGCATAGCATGAAAGTAATTTAACACAGAGAAATATTTTCGTAAGGATTTGCGGCGGTAACAAAGGGAATTTTAGCGAGAGCCTGTAATGGGGCAAGACTGTTATCGTTTCCCGAAGTTGACTCACGGTGTTGATTCGTCTAATTGGAAAAAGTTTTTTTAGCTCTTTAAAAGGGGGGTTGGCTAAATGTTAGTTAAATGGTTTGCACCGACCGTGGCATAAATAGGGACCCCTTCGAGAACGAAGCGTCTGCGGTGCAAATTTTGACTCGGTGTTTGTGATAACAAGGCGCGAACGAACCGCGCTCGGACGTGTCAAGACTGCCTTTTTAAGATATCCTTTTTCTCGTTTCTCGCGCGCGAGTGGCCGTTGACACGTTAAGCTTGCGAGCTTTTATTATGGTTTGCACAAACATAGCGCGCTTCCTCTTTATTCTGTGTAAAGGAAACAAGGTTCACGTTTCTTGGCGAGTGAGTTTAAAAAGGATTTTCTATAAAAATAAACGGAAACCTTGGACACATGAAATACACGAGAATCTTCTGTACATTTGGTTAATGTTACTGCAGAGAATCAATCTCGTCATTAATTTTACTATTTCGTTTAAGATCATTTCTATTTTGAAAATGTAACTCCATAGATGTCAAGTCTAACTTTCTCAAATTACATTTGCCTATTTGTCAATTTTTCTTGTTATTAGATATTATTCGTAAAATATGAGGAAATAGTGTTTGTAAAATAAAGAAAATATGGAAGATTAAAATATGTATAGCAAGCAAACGCATCGAGTTAACTTGAAACCATTATTTTGATTTGTCTTGCATTATTCGCAGCGAGCGAAAGTAATTGCGGGGGTTAAAGAAAAAATGCGTGCTGAAAAAATCATCGGGCACTCAAGGATGATAGGTACAGGTGCGTTCGGCGAAACAGGGATCGATACGACGCGCAGGCTTCGCACTATGGTCCCGAAATTCGTCAGCCACCCTCTCTCACATTCATCTCCCTCTCTAGCGCCGTTTTACCGTCGGCGCGGCTGTCCCGGGCATTTATTTATTTTCACGCGTTTCGTACGCCGCACGACGTAGCCTCGACTTTCGGGCTCAGGATGAGCGGTGAGGCGGAACAGAGTAAGAAGAAGGGAGGAGAGAAGGGCTCTTAGTCGAGTCGGTGGGGCGGAGAGAATGCGGCGGGACGCGACTCGCGAGTCGCGTTTACGATCGTAAAATTCGCGAGAGAGACTCGAAACCCTGTAATCACAGTTCGCACCAGTCGCCCACCATGATAGAGTACCGCCGAAAGAGAGGAGGAGAACGCGACGGCTGCAAAAACGTAGAAAATAATCCGAGCTTGCGTTTCAAACGAATTACATGAACTTCTTTTTTTTTTTTATTCACCCGATTAGCATCTCTGTGATTATTGATTTATTTTATTCGTTGCTTGCGAAAATGAACGATTTATTATCGAATCCTTATAACTTATATAATTCGCTATATCGTTATAACTTATATAACTAGTATCACCAGCGATTAAGCAGTTGATTATTTTTATCATAGTTTCGTAAAAGTGTAACGCTGTTTTAATTTTCTCAGCTTTTGCTTCTTCGTTTTTAAAATTAAATGTTATAGCTTTAAAGAGCGATTAAAAGCGGTTAAATCGCGTTAACAAAGCTCCTTCCAATCGCGAAAGGATAAATCGGGATACGCGGGCGAGCTTTCGGTCAATCTAGCAGCGTTAAAAGATTTTCCATGCGGCGGAGAATAGCGGTGGAATGGAAAAGGCGAAATGCGGGCAGGGCGAGAGCGGGAGCTTTTCGACCACCGCGAAATGGAATGCTCTGAAATTTTATATTTATGCTTCATGCCCGGTTATATTACTGGTTTCGGTAGGAACCGACCGAGTGGACGAAATCGATATGGACGCCGATACGCGTGTCGATCTAACCCGGACCGGTAAATTGAAATCCATAACCGCGCGTATGTACATAACGCGCTACATGTTTCGTTACCGTTGACGTAGTATCTCGTCTTTGAATGGTAAGGGTATGAATCGGCATCGATGCAATTCTCGCGTTGTATCCAATGCATGGTTTCACTTTTCTTCCATTTTCGCGAGCATGTCGCGTAAAATACACACAGCCGGAACACTTTTCGTTACGCAGTAACCTCCCGCGGATTTATTCGTGTGTAAGTCAAAGTCTGATAAATAAATTGTAAATCTGATGAGAATTTATTCAACTGCATAAACGTCAGCGCGGAAACAATTTAAGATTAAACAATTCTCAATATGAATGCCGCGTTAAATGCAAATTCCAATTAAATGACGAGAAATAAATTTTTTATTATATTTGAAATCGATAATTGTAGAATTTTTTGATTACACTCAAAATATTATTGTGTGCGTACTTGTGTTTTTTGGCCGGGCGTTTGCAATTTTAAAATGCAGTTACATTTTGTTGATGGCAGAAAAAAAGGAGTAATATGAAATAGTGAGATTGCGAGAGAGAAGCAGACTCTCTTATGGATAAAATGGCGATAAAGTTTTTATCCCTAGCAATAAATAACGCCGTATCGTTACTTTATGGTTATTAGTGATTCTTGGATAACCGGTGACGGAGTATATTTATAGTTTAACGCTGATAAGAATATGCTTCATCCGCGATGAAGATACAAAATCAGTTTTTCCTCGCTTCAAAGTAGATTCTCGCAAAGAATATTTCTCTCTCGCAGAATCAACTTTTTATAGAGATTATAGAGATTGATATAAATTGTTATATGAAGACGAGAGGGAATACAATATATAAGTAAATACTGTATAGGAAAGCTATTTTCGTAAGCTGATTGATAATAAAATTGAAATAGAATACATAAAAAATGCATAAAATACATAAAAATAAAAACTAATAAATTGTAAAAATAAATATATGAAAAATAAATATAGAAATTTCTATACACATTAGTAAAATTAAAATATTACGTATATTTCAAGTATTTATATTTCATTTGTTTTTATTGCGCTGTACGCGAGAGATTGTATCATATATCTTGTCAATATGTATATTTGCGATCGATAAAAGATTAAAAAGATCGAAAAAGATATCTTATTAAATAAAATAGTTTTTTTGAGAAGAAATTAAAAAGTCTTGAAAAGAATATAAAAACTCTCTATTACATATCTAATAAATCTTCTGTTATATATTTAACGTACTTTCTTTCGACAAATTAAGGACCCTTGTTACGCACTCAAAATTCTCTCGCGCTGTGTATTACGCGTAACGCGAAACACCTATTGTATCCTGTTTTCGGGGTGATCACGCAATCTTATTTAAGTCCCCTCTACCCAGATTCGGACGACGTTACTTACCGCGTAAGTTACGATCGTTGTAGCGGCGAGAAGTTGAGAAACGTTCTTATGTGCTCGACACGC